ATATATAATAGTATGTATATATAATCATTGCCATTGAGTCAATTCCAAATCATAGCAACCCCCTTTGGATTTTCAAGGCTTTAAATCTTTCCAGAAGCAGACTGCCTCATCTTCTTCAGCAGAGCAGCTAGTGGATTTAAAACATTGACTTTTTGGTTAGCAGCCAAATGCCTTAACCACTACCCTACCAAAACTCCTTATATACATATATATTTCACCCAGGAAGATTCCTAAAAATGACCTATACTGAAATTAATGGCTCAAATAGGGTTTAGAGTTTCCCAATTCCTTTGCATGGAAAAGAGTTATTTCTAGCAGCTCTGAGTATACTGGGCCTAGAATAGTTGGTGTGTACCTATCCAAGCATTCACAAGGACGTCTATGTTTGGTTTGAACCTTGCAATTTCTTGGAGTTACTTTCCCAGCCAAAACTGTAGAGATGGATTACCACTATATGCAGATATATTGCATTTTTTTAATTGCATTTTTATATATTTTTTATCGAGTAGCATATCATCATTGTTATGCTACCCTGCAGCTGATCAGAGCCTTCTGTCTTTCAACAGCACATAGTGTTATGACAGTGAAAGGATGAGTTAATATGCACTTGAGATAAGGTCATAACACAAAAGTACATTCCATCTCTTCTTGGTCATTTCAAATTTCATTTTTCCTGGCTAATTATGTTCATATTTTCCAGGATAAGGAAAGATACATTAGCTCAGTCAATCACACTGTACCACCACCAAGACTGGCAATGTCTAAGATTGTGACCTCAACAAGGACAACCTTCATTAATTGCTTATAATGTATCTCGAGAGTCCATGCTTGCCAAAATGGGCTATTTGCAGTGTGATATCATTGTGAATCACCACCATTCTTTCATTCTTTTATCAATTCTGATATTTCTTAAATATCTACATTGCATCTGAAAATAAAATCTCTAAATTCAAATAGTTGCTTGGTCTTAATCACCCACGAGTAGGACAGCTAAAAGGTAAAAGGTCTATAGTTA